ACACACCAGCCAGCCTGAGCCCCGGGAGTGACCACACACCAGCCTGAGCCCCGGGGAGTGACCACACACCAGCCAGCCTGAGCCCCGGGGAGTGAGCACACACCAGCCTGAGCCCCGGGAGTGAGCACACACCAGCCTGAGCCCCGGGGAGTGTGACCACACCAGCCTGAGCCCCGGGGAGTGTGACCACACCAGCCTGAGCCCCGGGGAGTGTGACCACACCAGCCTGAGCCCCGGGGAGTGTGACCACACACCACCCTGAGCCCTGGGGAGTGTGACCACACACCAGCCTGCCTGTGTCCCGGGGAGTGACCACACACCAGCCTGTGCCCCGGGGAGTGAGCACACACCAGCCTGTGCCCCGGGGAGTGACCGCACACCAGCCTGTGCCCCGGGGAGTGACCGCACACCAGCCTGTGCCCCGGGGAGTGACCACACTCCAGCCTGTGCCCCGGGGAGTGACCACACACCAGCCTGAGCCCCGGGGAGTGACCACACACCAGCCTGTGCCCCGGGGAGTGACTACACACCAGCCTGTGCCCCGGGGAGTGACCACACACCAGCCTGAGCCCCGGGGAGTGACCACACACCAGCCTGAGCCCCGGGGAGTGACCACACACCAGCCTGTGTCCCGGGGAGTGACCACACACCAGCCTGCCTGTGCCCCAGGAAAGTGGCAGAGCAGGGGATTAAGCTGTCCCACCATCCCCTGGAAGCAGGAATGGAAGTCCTGACTAGATAGCCTGGCCGGCCTCCTTGGGTACAGTGGACACTCATAGGCCTAGTGGGGAGGGATGGACCAGCCCAAGGTCACAGAGGGCACGTAGAAAGTGAGATGGGAACTCCACTGTCCTTCCTGCAGTCAAGCCCCGACTGCCTGCATCGGGTCCTGTGCCTCCCCCGCTGCAGGAGCAGACGCGGCTGGAGCAGGGCCTGAGTGAGCGCCAGCGCTGCCTCGATGCAGAGCGGCAGCAGCTGCGGGAGCAGCTGAAGCAGACCGAGCAGAGCATCGCCAGCCGCATCCAGAGACTCCTGCAGGACAATCAGAGGTCAGTCTGGCGAGCCCCAGATGCCCTGAGGGCAGGAGGTCTTCACCCTGCCCAAGCACTCCTCTGCCAGGATCCAGGGAAGGCGGGTCAGTGCTCTGATTTGCAGAGAGCCTATCCTGGGGATTGCAGACCGGGCTCTGTCGCAGGACTGCTGACTGCACTTCTCCCCAAGGCCCATTTCCACATTAGCAGGTGAAAATCACAGCCTGCCCCTGCAGGTGGCTTCCAAGTAGCCTGTTTCCTGAGGGCTCACCTGTAGGTAACACACTGTCTTACATAGGAACTACCAAGAGCCGTTCGTGATGGAGAGAAAGGAGCCGAGTAGAAATCTCAAGTCTGAAAACATTGGGTTAGGGGTCCGCCATAGGAAGAAGATTCTAGAAACTGGCTATAGCCACATGCTCCACGAGCCCCTGCTTCCTTCTTCCCTGCCTTGGGTCCTCTTTCTTCTGTCATCTGTCAGTGACAGAGTGAGTGAGTGCAGGAAAGGAGACACTGGCTGGTGCTTCTGTGCCAGGCGCTCTGTGTTCCCACACTTGTGGTCTTTTCCAAGACAAGTTTCTCTGTGTAGCCCTGGCTGTCCTGGAACTCGTTCCATAGACCAGACTGGCCTTGATCTCAGAGATCGCTGCCCTTTGCCTCCCAAGTGCTGGGATTAAAGGTGTGCGCCACCTTATCCAGCCGCCTAAGAAGTGCTTTGACTCTCCTGTCACAGAGAGCCTTAGAGGGCTTCACAGCCTGAGAACAGAGCTCCTGGGTAGTGAGCTCAGCCAGTGTGGTGAGGTGGGCAGCTTGGTTAGAAGCAGCATCGCTGTACTCACAGGGCCCATCTCTGTTTTTCCCACAGGCAGAAGAAGAGTTCTGAGATTCTGAAGTCACTGGAGAATGAGAGGTGAGTGAGCCTCTAGGACCAGTGTCTAGAGACAGTTCCCAGGGGCACTCCAGAACTGGGGAACATGGCAACCTAGGGCGCTCACTGCTCTGGGAAATGGATACCCTGGGGCGCTCACAGCTCTGGGGGAAGGGAGCCATAGGCTCCTCCCTTGTACTGGGAAGTCTCCTTGGTGCTCTAGGAGAATTACCTCTTGGCATCTAGTTAATAATAGCTCTTCTTTTAGTTTCTTTTTTTTTTTTTCAATTTTTTAAAATTTATTTATTATGTATACAGTGTTCTGCTGGCATGTATGTCTTCACTCCAGAAGAAGGCACTAGATCTCATTACAGATGGTGTGAGCTACCATGTGGGTGCTGGGGATTGAACTCAGGACCTCTGGAAAAGCAGCCAGTGCTCTTAACCACTGAGCCATCTCTCCAGCCCTTCTTTTAGTTTCTTAAAATAAAGGTACACTCTCGAGAAAAACTGAGAAATATGAAAGAAGGAAGATGGATCTGTAATGCCTGTGTGTATTTTGGCTATAAAACATCTTTAAAAATTCACATTTAGCCAGGCAGTGGTGGCGCTCACCTCTAATCCCAGCACTCGGGAGGCAGAGGCAGATGGATCTCTATGAGTTCGAGGCCAGCCTGGTCTACAAAGTGAGTTCCAGGAAAGGCGCAAAACTACACATAGAAACCCTGTCTCAAAAAAAAAAAAAAAAAAAATTCACATTTAGTCCAGGTACAAGTGGCACACGCCTTTAATCCCAGCACTAAGGAGGCAGAGGCAGTCAGGTCTCTGTGAGTTGTAGACCAGTCTGGTCTACAGAGTGAGTTCCAGGACACCCAGGCCTACATACACAGACCCTGTCCTAACCCGGAAATAAATGAATGAAAATTTTTAAAATCCACATTTGTAGAAATAAAGGGAATGTGATACTTCTGGCCCCCAAACCACAGCTGCTCAGGTCCCTTAAATAAAGTGAAATATTTGCCTAGAGCAGTAGGTCTTTGTGAGTCATGACAAGGAATTTAATAACAGTGGTCGCCTAAGACCATCGGAAAACACAGATATTTACATTCTGATTCATAACAGTAGCAGAGTTACAGTTACGAAGTAACAATGAAAATAATTTTATGATTGGGGTCACCACAACATGAGGAACTGTATTAAAGGGTCACAGCGTTACCAAGGGTGGGAACCACTGGCCTAGAGCCTCATACATTTCCCTGCCTGCTGTGTGTGCTTTGTGATACCCGATACAATGTAGATGCTGTGCACATAGCAGCTCTGCTCCATTGCTTAGGAGGTGGGGGGACGATGACACATACTCATACCAGTATAGACACAAGATTTTTCCAATATTACTGATCAGCAATTGGTTGGACCTGCAGACAGAACCCACAGGTACAAGGACCAACTGTATCCCTCGTTGCTAGAAGTGGGCAGCATCAGAGCAGCGTGGACACAGCTGTAGGCAGAAGTTTCTGTCCCGCCAGCAACTCCCAAATGTCCACAGCCACTTCCCAAGTAATTCCCTCAGAGGCCTATTGTATTACTTATAAATGCTCGGCTGGTAGCTCAGACTTATTTCTAACTAGCCCTTACACTTTAATTAACCCATAATTCTTATCTATGTTTAGCCATGTGGTTTGATACCTTTGCTCGGTACAGCATTCTCATCTTGCTTCCTCTGCGTCTGCCTGGTGACTCCTGACTCCACCCTTCCTCTTCCCAGCATTCTCAGCTTGGCTTTCCCACCTAACTTCCTGTCCAGCTACCAGCCAGTCAGCACTCCATTAACCAATGCGAGTGACAAATCTTTACAGAGTACAAGAGGATTATTCCCCAGCACACAGTGTAGCTCTTGCGATGTCTTGCCTGTGGAAAGCAAAGGGGCCCATCCCCAGGGTTGTGCTGGGCGTCTGTGGTAGACAGGAATGGTGGCCTTTGTTTTCTCTCTGTCTTGGGATTTACCAAGTTGGCCACTTTGAGGCATTTGTCATCAGAGAAAGTCATAGGTCACCGTTGGCATGCATCTGTCCTTCTAGCATTAGGGAAGTGAAGCCAGAATTCAGAAGAATCAGGAGTTCAAGGCCAGCTTCTACATAGTGAGTACTCATACCAGAAAGGGACTGAGAGATGGCTCAGTAGAGAGCTTCCCACACAGGATGAGGGTCTGAGATCAGACCATCCTTAGCCTCTGCATAAAACCCAAGTGTGGGAGTGCATCCCGCCATTGCAGGATCAGGGTGGGGTGTGTGTAGAAACAGGAACCTGAAAAGCTCTGGCTGGCCAGCAGGGAGAAACTCATGACTTCAGTTCAGTGAGAAACCTTGTCTCAAAGTAAGGTAGAAAGAAACAGAGGGAGACATGCAGCATTGACCTTTGGCCTCCACAAACACTACATGTACATACACTCATACTCACGTGCATGCACACACACACACACAAGTATGGTGGTGCACGTCTGTAATCCTAGCACTCAGGATTACAAGCTCAAGACCAACCTGGTCTGCATAGGAAGTTCCAGGCTGGCCTAGGCTATATAGTGAGGCCTGTCCAAAAGAGATAAAAAGACACAAAGATAAATGATGGTGGGAAGGGCCGGCACCATTGCCTGTCCCCGCCTGAGGCATATACTGTGACTCTTTCCTGATTCTCCTGGGTCCCACGATAACAGTATTTCTGAGCTGCCCTGGGAACCTCCTCTCCCCAGCCACCTCAGCCCTCACCACAGGAGGATCTTCTGAATGCTCCCTGGGGTCTGTCCTGCCCAGGCCAGCTGCGCGGCTGCGGAGGCCTCGCTCAGTGGGAACTGGTGGCCTCATCCATTCCGCCACTACTAACAGACCGTGTCGGGTGCTGGCCAGGCCCAGAGGACAGCCCCGTATCAGGTGGCAGCGGTTGGAGCCTCTCGGAGGGTCCAGGCCTTTGAACTAAGTCACACTCAGGAACGTGCGGGGTGCTGAGTGATGGAGGCACTCTTGGCATGTGAGAACACAAAAGCACCCAGCATGCACCACGTGTGGAAAGTTTCCTCTGAGTTTTTTACTCTTATGTCATGGATGTAGTTTTGTGCCCCAAACCTTGTTTGTAGAGGGCTGGAGAGATGGCTCAGCAGTTACAAGCACTAGCGGCTCTTCCAGAGGACCCGGGTTCAATCCCCAGCACCCATATGGCAGCTCACAACCATAACTCTAGGTCCAGGGGATCTGACAGCCTCTTGCGGCCTGTGGATACTAGGCATGAATGTGGGATGCAGGTACACATGTGGGAGAAAAAAAAAAAAAACTATATACATGGGGGCTGGAGAGATGGCTCAGCGGTTAAGAGCACTGCTTGTTCTTCCAGAGGTCCTGAGTTCAATTCCCAGCACCCACATGGTGGCTCACAACCATCTATAATGAGATCTGGTGCCCTCTTCTGGTCTGCAGGTGTACATACAGATAGAGCACTGTATACATAATAAATAAATAAAACTATACACATAATATGTTTAAAACCTTCTCAGAAGCCGGGCGGTGGTGGCGCACGCCTTTAATCCCAGCACTCGGGAGGCAGAGCCAGGCGGATCTCTGTGAGTTCGAGGCCAGCCTGGGCT